TCGTCTATTTTCGAGCAAGTCAAACAATCGATAACGTTTGTTATTTAATGACAATTAGCATTTTAGACTAAAACTAATTTTTTTTACCAAAAGGTAAAATATTTTTAGAAGCTTCCTTTAGCTCTTCACTGACAAAAAATACGTTCAAAATTGAAGAGTGCAAAAAAGGTTTAAAAAAGTTTCTTAATTTATTTTTTGAAGACAATTGGAGTCCTAATTTATGCTGAATTTACTAAATTTTTACGCGTTTGTATAGTCGTATTATCACACGACGCAAGCAAAAAGAGACACTACCTTGAAAAAAAAAATTTTTTTTTTCTTCTGAAATTGTGGTCGGAAAATTATGTGCTACTTGCTAATCAACCGGCTATCCTTTTTCTCCATGTCCTCTTAGTTGGTATAATTTGTGATAACTCTTCTTTCCTGCATGATCTATTGATGTGTTTTTTTTTTAATTTTTTTTCCATCAAAATGATCTTGAAGTGACCGCAAACTCCTCACTAATTTCCGTCTTTTTTTGCATTTGTTTGTTGAATCTTTTCAAGTTTCATTTGTTTTCTTTTGTTACCGTCAGCTAAGGCTTCCTAATGCCGCATCATAGACATTTCAATCAATCGGTTTCGATTTCTTTCATTTTGGTTGCTAGCAAAATTGATTTATAACAGACATTTAATAAGAGACGACGTCGGTTAGATCTGAATCATGGAGAACAAAAACAGCTGAAGAAGTTCATAGGGGCTCTTTTTAGGACATTTTTAGGCTCAAAGTCCAAAATCAGTTTTGAAACTCGTCGTTATCAGAAGTTTTAGCTTTTTCAAAACTTCACAAAAATGGTTCAAGCTGATCGCCTGAAAACAAAAATTAGGGCTTTTTAGACCCTTGAGTCGAATAATTTTTAAAATTAGACCAAAAAAGCTTCTCTTGATGAATAATCTAGCGGTGTAAAACAAGTTGTAAAAAGCAACTAATTAGGGTTTGACCGTTTTTTTAGAAACTTCTCACACTTTTTCATGAATTGATAAAACAAGCAGGTGAGCCTTACAACTGCTGAAAAAGTTAGAATGTCTTAGCAACTTCAAAAGTTATACTGAGTTTGGTTGTATGTTTTTTCATATGGCAATATCTGCGGCATATAGCAACCAATAATTGCAACAGTAATCCTTAAACTTAAAACTTAGGTTCGGTTTAGAAATCATCTTACTAAGATCGAAATAACGAAAGTCACATTAAAGGTAACGAAAGTCAAATTCACGAAAACCTCATAATTCAAGCAACTTTTTATTGATTCTTTGTTTTTTTTTGCAATTTGCAAGTTCATTGCGATGATATCATGCCACCGTAAAATATTGCATAGAAAAAACTGAATAATAAACGTTTTTCTTTGTAATCAGGTGTGATGCAAAAGTTTCACGGAGCTTTAATTGAAAACAATTTTGAAAGCATAAGTGGCCCAATCCTTTATATAAAAGCACCATCGCATTGGACTTCAAAAACTTGTTGCGAAAATCAAATTGACATTCCGCAAAAAATTACCAACTCAAATTAGCAATCCTAAAAACACCAATGCTAGAAAAACTAACATACTCAATATTTAGTTCTTGGCAACAATTGTATCTGAAAAACGCATACTGCAGCTGTTGTAATTGCCATTTTAGAAAACCTGCTTTACTTCTACACTTTGTTGAGGCAAAAATTGGCAGATAACAGAGTTTTTAATAAAAAAACGGCGGATATTTATTTCACATGTAATTTCAAGCACCTGAGCCCAGAAAGCACTAGTAGCCACTGAACAAATTCAAAGGGGGAGTTTACCCTAAGCAAGTTTTGGCCCAAACTCAAAGCAAGTATCGAAAGCTTACATTCATTCAAATATTTCATAGGCATTAAAATTTGTACCCCAATAATTGGCTCAATTTGAAGTTAAACTACTGAAAAGATCGAGAAAGGGATTTTGAAAGCGCAAATTTTGTCCAGTTCATCAACTTTTCAGTCTGAAAAAATGTAAAGTAAGTCCAAGAAAATGTCTCTTAATGAATATTCCACCAATTTTTATTAGTATGTAAAAAACAACTCAATCAGTTTCGTGTAAAAAGAAAAAAGCTCACTAAACAGTAAAAATTATAATCATTTTTCACACCAGAGTCTAAACTCTTCACATGTACTTAGCATATGAAAAACGTCATCAAAACTAAAATTGTACAATTTTAGCAAAAGTCGAACTGGCATTCTGTTACAACAAAAAATTGAGTCCTAGATAAGCGCGCTGTTTGATGCGTGTATGACCCTGGATTCCGGAAACAAGCTTCTAAACAAGTCCCAAATTGTAGCCAAAATATCGCAGATTTCCACAATGAGCAAGATTAAAAATGAGCAACAAGAAATGAGCTTATTTCAAATGGAGCTGATTTATGATTCAGCCAACTGACTGTGGATTCCACATAGGCAAAAAGTATCCTTGTTGCGGATTCCATAACAAAACAGCGTTTTGCCTTTTGTAGAATCCGCAAACAATTGCAAAAAAACACAGTTTATTATTGTAATGAATCGTCACAAGTATTTTTTCTAAGATGGATTAAATTTACGCTTACGCGCCAAAAGCGCGAACTATATTGAGCGTTAACTGTCTCAATTTGGCCAAAATTGCATATTTAAACCCCTATAACTTTACAAAAAAAGGTCACAGGTAAAACAAAAATTCAAACTTAGGCTCAAGACAACAATATCTTTCGAATGATATGAAAAATTCCGTCAACAATGGCTAGTTCAAAAGTCAAAATTTGTTCGAAGAAAAAAAAACCCACCCCGAGAACAAATATTTCGTTACTTTTGTATCGAAAGTCGGAAAAATAATAACTTCAAAACACGACATCTTCCTAAACCATGTGTTATCATAATGATTATTTGTTTCCGAAAAAAAACTCAAAATTTTTTTTTCGATGAAGGACACATCAGTGTGAAATCTTGCATAAGAATCAATTGATTCAATTTCGTCTATCAATATCTAAAACAATATCGAATTTATGGGTTTTTTTTTTTCAATAGAAGTTGAGGCAAAGTGCGGCACCCCCATAAGCTACATTAATAGCAACAAGGCACAATCATTATGAAATTTTTTACGATATTCAAATTGGCATTCCGCGAAAAAAAAACAAGTCAATTTTTCACTCTATAATCAATTAGAAATTCAACTGAAATTACAAATCCACCTATCAAATATAATCACGGGCTTGAAAGATGCAATTTTTTGATTTCAAGAAGCAAATGAACAAGTTTTTTTTAGCGTTTGGGCATCTATTGAAGATATGGTTAAGCTTTGACAAATTTTGAGAACTTTTTGGGGATCAAATTTTCAATACCATGTTTGAAATTAATAAAATTCCAGTATACCTTGACCAGTGCATCATACTGAAATATCAGTTTTTGGGTTAAAATTTATTCTAACTTGATTGAAAATTAGCGCGATATTGTTCCTATATAAGTTATTTTAGGCCCTTGAAATCAAATCCTTCGCTTTGTTTGCGAGTGGTTTTCCACAGTAACGATACTTCTGAAGCTAGTTATGGTACACACACTATTTTACCCCATCGAGAACATTTACTGGCTATCTTACCATCTCAATTTCAGATTTCGTAATTCTTTTACGGCTAGCTGTTTTAAATTAATAAAAAAAAATAGAAAAAAAAAGGAAAAATTGTTTTATTTGCTCTCAATCAAATCAAAAAGACAAATCTCTTCGTCTTGTGACTGCAGAAATCTTGAACATTTTAAAAAGAAAAATTTTTACAATATTTTATGAATAAAAGTATCAAAAAATATTTAAGCTATGTATTAGTAACCTAGTGAAAATTTTTCAGTTAGAACAACCAAGCAAACTCAGCTTGCTATATCTGTTAATGCTGACAAAATTTTGAAAGCCGTTGCTTTAGCGTTTTTTGTAATAACTTCTTACAATGAAATCCAAACCAACAAAATGAACAGATTTTAACCATAGTCATAGTATTTTCTGCAACTGAGCTCACATAGCAGACAGATAGTTGAAAAAATCTAGACAGATTTCGCCCATAGCTTTGTTCTGCAACTGAGCTCAGTTATCAACTTTAGATGGGGTGGGTAATAAACTAAAAGCTATCAAAATAAAACGTTTCTTTTTTTAGTGATTTCATGATTTTTGCACTTTATAGCATAACTTAATAGTTTTTCAGCTATTTAGTGGACCAGATATCTCTAAACGTCATCGACAAGTCTTCTAGTATTTTGTCGAGTTTTTCAAAAAAAATTTCAGTCAAATTGATTAGCAATTACAGCAAAAAATTCAGGAAAAAATGGATCAAAATCCTGAAGGAAGGCGTCCACCCCCTCCGCCCTAAATCCTCCTCTGTGCACTCAAAGAATTTTCAATAAGCAAATTTTTGTTTGCTGATATTAACTTTAGTCTTTGAAAAACCTTTGATTGATATCTTTTTGGCAGCCAGTTTGGTTCTTCCCACTCCACCCCCCCCCCCACCGATGAAATTTTACAATTAACTATTTTTGTTCACATCGATTGTTGCAAAAATTGTCATGCGGATTGATTCGGAATTGGCAAACATATTTGGTCTTCATTTTCAATCTTTTGAAACCACCCGATAGACTATAAAACCGATGCTTGGGCTAGGTGGGGGAAAAGAAAAAGAGCCGCCAACTATTGTAAATTTACAAAATAATTTGATTTTTTGATGATTGATTTTGCTCCAGTGGCTTTTTTAAAGTTATTACCAGTTTGCTGGTAGATTTGTCCTCTTTAATAGGTAAAAACAAAACTTTCAAGGTTCATTTTAGTTTCAGACAATTTTTTCCGCATGGTTGTCTTAAAGTTCAAATTTGATGCAAACTTTGTTCAAAAATTACGGTTTATCCACATGTACTTTTCATCAGTGATTTCATACTTTCGATTGTTTTTTAAAACATTTTGCAAACGTCCTCTCAAATACTATTAAGAAACAAAAAAATGACGGGTTTTAATTACAAATAACATATTTCAAACTTTAGTCATGCAAATAATTAAAATTTAAGTAAATATGAAAATAACAACGCTTACGATTTCAGTTTCGTTGAAGAGTATAATAACGCCTGCCTTTTGCAAAATAAAATGGGAGCTGATTTTAAGAGGGTGGAGTATTTTTCACATCATAAGTCTTAGTTTTTTAAGGGCGAGCTACCGAATGCACAAAACCTTCCTCAAGTAATCTCCCAAAAACGTTAGTTTTCACGGCACTATAAAAATTAAGTTTGAACAAAAGAAGAGGTCTAGTTTATCTAATTTTCTTCGGGAGAGACTTGCACATAAAATGGCGCGTTTTTTCTATCATATATGCCACAAACCTAGGCTTGGTCGCACAAAAAAATTGCAGCCCCAAAACACTGCTTTTTGAATTTTGCAGGATTTTAAGCCTACTGCCAGGAGGGAGGGGAGGCGTGAATATGGGATACAAAACGGCAAATGCAATAACCATGGTATTAAAAGGTTTTCGAATGTTTCAAGCAAGTTTTTTTTTAGTTAGTTTGACATTGGGGATGACGAGCTGCTTCCTTTTTTGCTGGTTCCGAGTCCAAACGAGCTCCCGTTGTTGTTATTATGATTATTATTGTTGCTGTTACTATTGATGTTGTCATTATTGTTGTTTTCAGAGGTGGGGGAGTTTGAAGCAGAGCCTTGTTGTTGTTGTTGTTGTTGTTGTTGCTGTTGTTGTTGTTGTTGTTGTTGTTGTTGTTGTTGTTGTTGTTGTTGTTGTTGTTGTTGTTGTTGTTGTTGTTGTTGTTGTTGTTGTTGTTGTTGTTGTTGTTGTTGTTGTTGTTGATCTTGGTTTGCAGTCGTGAACACCAACTGTGCTTCTCCTACAAACTCCATTTCCATTGAGGACACGTGACTGTTCGCACAAATCAGTTCTGTTTTGTAGTGGCAGCCTAAATTTTTTTAAAAAGAAATAGAAATATTTACATTATACCGAAAAAAAATGTTTCAGGATTTATGAGTCAATTAAAAATTTTTGTAAAGACTGATCAATTTAGTTACAAGCATAATCATTATAATGATAATGTCTTCTTCAAATTTTAAAAATATAACTTTTTTCTCATGTAAAAAAGACTTCTTTCTTGTTTTGTTTTTAAAGTTTTGCCAGCATTTTGTTTTTCCTTTTTTGGGCTCTTAAATCAAGTATATTGGAACAAGAGCAGATGAAATAGCCTCCAAGGTGACAAAAATTTTAAATGTATTTACAAAACAAATCTCACTTTTTACTCGCTATATCATAAATTAAAGAAGATATGCTACTCTTTTCCCCCAGTGCCCACCAAAGGTTATTGGCCCAACTCATAAGAATACAAAAAAACAAGACTGCTCGTATCATGGCAAAGTTTTGAATATTGCGACTGCCTTTTAGATTTTTTGGAGTAGTATTCGCCTAAAATAACTCTGACTTTTTCAAAAACAAACCTCCACCCCCATACGCTATGTGAAGTACAAAGTGATATATTTGGCATACAGCAAAGTAGTATATATACCAAATAGCATGCCTGAAATCAAATTGGAACGAATTCTAAGACCGAAAGTGCGCAATAACTGTCCCATATTTCGCTCGTTAATTGGATCATCTTGAGTCGTTTATACCCCTATAACTTCACGACAAACAATCACAGGTGATTTTTTGTTTTAATTTAGGCCCAAGGCAACATTATTTTTCACTGGTGAAAAAAAATCAGCCAAACGTTGCTAGAATTGTGTCTGGAGATAAAAACAACCCGAACAAAAAAACAATTTATAATTCTTTCAGTTTTGGGAATTAAGAAAGCCATATCAACGTTTTCGCCTGATAATTTTATTCGAGTGAGCAGTGAAAATTAATATTTTGAAAGAAATCAAATTTGCTGACAATTTTTTTAAAAATTATTATGATAATTAAGATATCAATAAAATTGTCTAATATAGCTATTAGTCCATTCAATCACGCGCTCAAAAAAAACCAAAAATTTTGGCTAAAAATGATGTTGAAGGAGTAGAACAAATTTATATTGCCGAAAAAGTTAGAATGACGAGCAGACGAAAAGTATAGCAAACCAATCGCTCAACAAGACAATTAATTATGGGCGTAACCCAGCCAGAGTAAAAATAAATCTCGTTTTATAGATTTGTTACGAAAAATGATAAACAAATATAATTGTGAAAATTGATATAAAAGGTGCAAAAATGGTCATTTCTATTTAAAAAAATTCTAAAGCAAGACAATTTTGTACGGTGACTTTTTTGCCTGCAATTTTGAAGCGATTCCTGGAATTAGGTCATTTATCTGCAAGGGAGAAAACGAATAGTCAGTTCCTTACAGAGAACCGGATGTTTCCCAGGCTGCAAATTGAAGAAAACTTGCCGTATATTTTTCTGGGCAGGGTAAGAATGCCTTGCTTTCAATCAACAAGCACAGATCAGAGTGAGCGCGAACCCCGGCCTTTCTGTTGACAAGCGGAAACTTAGCCATTTCACCACCCCTTCCCCATCCAAAATAGTTTAAAATTAGACTGAAAACCAAGTTTTTTTTTTCACAATTTCATTGCGGCACCGAAAGATTTTTAAATGCCATTCAAATCACGACTGAAAGAATTAAATTGATATTTCACTTTTTATGATCTGTTTTTGTGGTATCTGATTTTTTAACACTCGAATTTTCTACATGTACATCGGAATTTGAAGTTTGTGAGGCGAAGAGAGGAGGTACCAAAGAATCCGGGTTGAACTTATGCTAACTTTTAAGCTCTCCCAAAACAGTGTAAAAGCCCTATATTGGCAAATTTGAAAAAAGGGGCAAAATGACGTTTTTTCGCATTTTTAGAGAATTTCATCAAATAGTTGCGTAAAATATCACGGTGTATTGAGCAAGTTTAAAATGTCCAAAAGAGCACCAAGTCGAAGTTGACGTAGGGGGTGACTCATAAGACATTAGTGATCTGTAATTCAAATGATGTCATTTGAAATGCGCTATGCCCCTAGAGATAGTTTTGGATTTGAAAGGTGGGTAATTAGGGCATTCCCCTAACGACCCCCCCCCCCAAATCCGCTACTGTGCCGTAGGCTCGGAACCTAAGGGATAAGTAACTAATGTCAAGCAGATTTACCCTTGTGACATGTGTATTCACAGTCCCTACACCTGTAGCCCTGCTTGCCCAGTCCCAGTCTCTTGGAGATGGGCTTCAGACACACCTCACACGTCTCACTGCGGCTGAAGTGAGTGGCCACGAATGTATGGTCATTGTAGATGTGCAGTTTGTTGCCTAAAAAGTACAGTTCGATTTAAGAGGTACCAGGTTCGAATCTAGATGGGATCGGCAATGTTTTTTTTCTTCTAACCACTTTTTTCGAACATGTGAAATGAACGTTTTTCACTGGCCGACCGATATTTTCAAAAAATATATATTAAATTTGGTCATTGTAGATGTGCAGTTTGTTGCCTAAACATAATCAGAAGTAGTGTGAAGTTTGAAACTATGTCCGATCAAATTTGCCACTGATATACTTGTATTCTGTTATCTGGTTGTTCAAAAAATTAAAATTAACGTGTCTATTGGTCAAAGTACTAAATCAAAAAAAAAATGAAACCCAATATTTTTGCTTTAACCATGATCAGAGATGGATGTCAGAGATTCAAGTCTAGGACAAAATCTCTATATAAATTATTTAAAATCAGCAAAGTTCAGAAAAATTATCAAACTTGTTACATTTATAGGGGCACTTAGCATAGTGGTAAGGCGTTCACTTTAGAATCGTCAGATCGTGTAATCGATCCCATACCATGGCAATGATAGTGTGTGAGGACGAGCTCTCACTTGACCTCTAGCTTCAGGTCTACCACAACCTGACCAAATTTGGCTGCAAAAGTGGTACCACGTGAAAGTTCTAGACGCACAAAAACGGCCTTGAGTCGCATAAAAAGAGCTAATAACACATGTGGGGAAATAATACAAACGGACTATCCTCGACAGGACTGATTCGCAGGAACGATAATTATTTAATCATGACTCGTAAAGCCCATTTGGCGGGCTTTACTAATCAGACTATGAACAGTATCTATTCTATATCAGTATCAAGTGACAGGTTGATATCTTTTTAATGTATTTTCCAAAGCCAAATTAAATTGTTTGGGCATCCGGCTTGAAATTAAGAACTAATAGTATCATAAATGAACTTGCCTTTGATGCCGTGTTTGTTGCTCTTGGCTAACTCCTTCGAGATGAGGAAGAACTTGGTGCCGGTGTCAATCACCAGAGTAGAGCAGTCGTAGTTCACGAATGAGTTCCGGCTGTTGATGCTACTCGTGTCACTCGAAGCCACAGCAGACGAAGCTACAACACTGAAAAACAAGAGCAACATTTCAAGTTATGTGCTGTTGTGGCGTATCGTCAGTGATGGTGCCCAGCAAAATTACTAATTGTGTTTGATGTTTGCGAGTATCTTGAACAGATGGTATCTTTAGCAGATACGACGGAAAAAACAATTGGTCACCAAAAGAATCCACTGAGCTACCATTTTACTTAGTAGCGGATTTAGGGGGGGGGGGGGGGGGCGGACGCTCTTACCCCTTCAGGGATTCGACCCTCTGCCGACCCAAAGAGCCCCCCCCCCTTTGTACTATTTTGAGATATCCATTTTTGGCTGACTGACCTTAAAATTTTCTAAGCAATCTATACTAATTTTGAGGGAGGGGCGCGCGCCGAAAAAACGCAATTTTTTGGTCCAAATTTTCCAAAAAGTGCTTGAAAACGCCTTTTTTGGGCCTTTTTTTCTCAAAAACTTGCCTGCGGCGCATCTTGGGCTATTTCCATTTTTGTTGAGGCTTGCATTAATTTTCTCTAGAGATAAAACAGCAAATTTTTTTGCCAATTTTTCTTAAAACCATCTGTTAAAAATGATAGAAATTAGCAAAAATTTCAAAAATTCCGTCTTCCAACGAAGCAAAAAACAGAAAATTGTGACTTAAATGTAAAAAACTAAACAGCACTTACGGTGGTGGACTGGCTGCTTGATTCACTGGCACCGTCTGACTATTACCCCCTTGCTGGGCTCCCGTCCCCACCCCCATGCCCCCACCCAACCCACTTGGGATATTCTGCTGTGGGGTAACGTGGGTGTACTGCTGTTGTCCAGATGCGAGTTGCTCTTTTGATCTGAGTCGGACAATCAAGGGATTGTTTGTTGTTTGAAGTTGCTGTTGTTGTTGTTCCAAACCGCGTTGAGTAATGTCCACAGAACGGTCACGACGGCTAAAAAATGAAAAAAGAAATTAAAAGAGTCGGATTTTTTACAGATGAAATTTTTGTAAAAACAGATTTTTATATTTTTCGAAAAAAATAGTGCAATGAAAATTTGTGAAAAAAAGTCACATGTATTTCACTTTCAGAATTTTGAAAAAAATATATATTACGTTTCATATTAACTTTTCTTTATATCAATTCTTAATCAGATTTTTGAACTTCAGTAGTTTACTAGAAAGCCAAATCCAATAGGGCCAAAAAACATGGTCTAAAAAATGCCAAATTTTTTTCCAACCATTGAAATGTTTAGTTTAAATTTTCTGAAATTTAAGAAAGCGGATGAAAATGTTTATCGGCCAATCAATCAAACTTTACACACCTGAACCAGTCTTTGATGGCTTTAGCCGGCCCCCCTCCCCCTCCTGCTCCTCCCCCCTCACTGGTACCACTTCTGCTCCTGTCTCTCTTCGGACTGGCACTCTTATTCCGACTCCTCCCCCTGTTCCGGATGGGACTGAAGGGAGAGCGACGACCGGGGTTGGGGGGATCAGGTGCTGAAATGATAGTGATGATTAGTTAAATAGCAATTTTTTTTGGACTTTTTCAGATACCAAATCTCTTCAACTATGCCCCCCCCCCCCTTAAGTACCTAGTAACGATTATCCCCCCTATAAAGAAATAAATAAACCGTTAAGCTTATCGGGGAATTTTATACCTAGTTACGAACCTGCCCCGGCCCTTTTTGCAAAAAGGCGATATAGTTAAAAAGATCCCAGATACCTCCCCCACCATTGGTAGCGAGTACAGAATGTCCACACCCGTAAAAGACTATTTAAACGCAAAAGCTTGAACCAATTTTGTCACCTTATATCGAAATTTTTGTGAAATATAATCCAGCCGAAGTATAAATCAGCCGAAAATACTCAAGTGTTATTCAATAGATATGTAACAATTATGTAACAGTTACGAAAGTTATATTCAAATGTCATTCTTATAGTGTAACGTATTTTTGGCTTATATACTCCGCGCATTTTCGGTTGGTTTATACTTCGGCTGATTCATTTTCTCTCCGAATCGCCATTACCCCTTTGCATTAGCAAGGAGGGGGTAAGAAATCGATAAAGAAATTTCAAGGAGTTCTTTTATAACGTTGTTTGAAGTGGGAAACAAATTAGTTTTTTTTAAATACTTACTTTACTGATCTGATGATTTCTTAGTGAAAGTATTGCAATTTTATGCGGTTGAAATAATCGTCGAGATAACTGTTAATTGACAGTAAAAATATAAAAATAAATCGGAAATTTCTGATAGCATTTTGAATATTAAAACGCTGAAACTATATAATAAAAAAAATGAGATAAGGTCTGTATTGTAGGGTTATTTATTGCTAATCAGAGCGGGAGGGCAACTTTTGAGAAAGCCAAGTTATAGTTTTTTAGGCAAGTTAGAAAGC